ATGAATCCCTTCTAGTTTCCTAAGGAGCTTCGGAAACTCAAAAGAATATGCTTTCTTCTGCTTTCTGATATCACATCCTTTCTTAAGCAATGAACATTAGATGGCCTAGTAGTTTAACTGTGATATAACAAACAGGGAGAAAGAAAACAAATGGAAGAAGTTTTGGTTAATTTCAGTTGTATGTCCTTTGTGTAGAATATAAATTATGCTAAGGCTAGAGTCCTATCTGTCTTGCATCGTGTTCCCAGTCCTGAGCAAAGTATCTGATATCTAATGGCACTTAGTGAGTGTTTAAGTGAATACATGAATACAAGACGATCAGCACTAAACTAGGAACTAAGTCTTAGTTATATGGACAGTGCATTAAACATTCAATATAGGTAAATATGTATTGAATGCCTATGCTCTGGTAGAACCTGAGAATATGATGGCAAACAAGGACAAAATCCCCGCCCTTGTGGAGCTGATTTCCCATTATTAATTCCATTATTGAGGAAGACAAGAAACAAAAACAAAATCAGGACAAATTAATAAATAACTTAAAAAAGGAATAAACAGGGCGAAGTGACATAGTAAAAGTCAAACTTTTGGTAAGAGAATGGACAGATTCAGTGTAAGTTTAAATTTCAAAAGTCACAGGAAGAAAGCAAATACAGAATTGCAGTTAATATTTGCATGTGGATAGCTGTGATTAAAATACCTTGAGTATTTCATTTCTAAAGCTAAGCTTCCTGGGCATAATTTGTTTAAAGTTCTTTTCATCTTCTCAAAAGTTATATGCAATAGAGTGTGTTAAGTTGCTTTAATGTTAGTTCAGCTCTTTCTGTATATATGGCGTCCAAATGTTAAGTGTGCTGACCCTTCAAAGAGTTGCATTTCACTTAACAGAGAAAATAAAAATGTCCCATTTCTCCCTAGAAAAAGGATAACATTTTCTAATTGTGCAAACACTTTATGAAAGTATCATTTGACTCCATATTTTGACAGCTGCTTTGCATTTATTATTGGAGAGGCTCTTCATATGGCGTGTTCCTTTTTTTCTTTTCTAGTCAAGGGGTGTTAATATTATTTTGGAATTATTCATATTTAAGAGTGATAAAGGGCCTCTCTCCAGGGGTTCTTAATAAACAAACTCTTAACTTCTAACCCCTTTATGGAAAAATAAAAAGGTTTTGGGAAAAAAAAGAAAGAAAAATGATTTTAGATTCTTCATTGTTTGGGGGAATCAATACTGTTTAGAATAGTAACACAAAAACTTTGCATTTTGTCTGGTATGTAGTAGAAAATGTTTGCTGGGAAGAGGCAGGGGATTATTATCCTTATTATACAGATGGGGAAACCAAGGCCCCCAAAACTTGAAGCTGTATTCGTATTGTGCTTTCTACTTGAATGAGGCTCTCACCTAAGTCAGCTCATTTAAAAGTTGTTTCTCACCACCATTATATGTAAAGTAGGAAAACAAAACAGTAATGACATGTTCGATAGACAGATGACGAATGAGTCAGCGCTAGACTTCCCCCAAACACAGGGAATTAGTCTTTGTTGCTAAAGGAAACCTAAGACTTAAGGATTAAAAAAATTCAGGTTCTCGGACAATGGCGGGATGAAAGACTATTCTTTCAAAAACAAAAACCAATCAGGAAATCTACTGGTAATCTTTGGACAAAAAAACAACCCCCCCTCAAAAAAAAAAAAAAACCTATCATACTGAAAAATAAAAAAGCTGTCTAACACTGTTGATGGGCATGTATGTTAGTTCTACTTTTAGGGAGGAGGAATTACGAATATCTACCAAAATTAAAATGAACATACCTTTGGGCCAGCAATTTAACTTGCTGAATGAATGCACACTGTCGACACATACTGGTACAAGAGTGAAGAGATAGATGAGGAAAGGATTGACCAGATATAGGAATGTTCACTGTGACACTGTCAGTAACAGAGGAAAACTTAAAAGGCTCAAATGTTTATCAGTAAATTTCTGGTGAGGCAAATTATGGGTTATCTGGGCAGTGATATTTTAAGTAGACACCTGAAATGTAGTAATCGACGTATTGACATGGAAAGATGACACAATGTGACAAGTCAAAAGCAAGTTGCTGAATAGCATGACTTCCTTTGAGTAAAAATAACTCAATCAAGTATTAGCAACAGCTACCTCTAGAAAGGGAGGTGTGCAATTTTTTTTTTTACTTTATTCATTGCATAATTACTATTTAAAAAATGAAAATAGATTCTTATTAAATTTTAAAAATTAAAAAGAAGCTGTTTCGTTCTGGCCACAAAAGAACTTCATTGTTCTTGCTGTTTAGAAACAAGGAGGGTATTTGGTGGGACCTCGCCTACTGTGCACAATACAATGGTACATTTCAAAACCATTAAGAGTAGTGTATAAATGTCTTACCACGACAGATAAGTAAGTGAGGGGATGGTTATGTTAATCAGTTTGATGAACGCATTCAACATTGTATATCAAATCAGCACATGGTACCCCATAAATGCATTAATGTACACAGTTATGATTTAATAAAAAAGAAAAACAAGGGTAAGAGGAACCCAGGAAATGGCTGGGGATGGCCTCCCTATACCACAGTGCCTACCTAGCACAGTGCCAGCCACATGGTTGGTGCTCAATTAATATTGTGAGGGACTGAGTAAAGATGGCTAACCTTGGTTGCTCTTGAGTAAATGGAGATGGAGGGATATAAAAACATTCAGATTTTTTTAACCTGCAAACCTGAGTCCAGTGGGTCAGCGGAGAAGAGTATATACCCACACTGACAGGCTGATTTGTGTTAGAGAGGGATGGGTTATGTGAAGGTCAGTTCTCCCAAACACAGTTTGAGGGTCCATTTGCATTGGAAAAGGATTCTTACTGAGCCCTTCTTACCATGTGTTTTTCTGAGTCTCTCTTCAGGCATTTACCTGTTGGTTTACAACTGGAAAGCTTACAGACGGAATCTCAGAGTGCTCAGCTGGTCTATTCCTTTTAGGCACTGGTCCTCCTCAGCAGCCTGGCCATAGTCAGTTCAGATTGATTGACACCTGCCAGGACAGTGCTTCCTTGTTCTCTGGGGAATTCTTTTCTGATCAGCTTTAACCACCAGAAAGTTCTTTATGGCACTAAACTGGAACATATCTCTTTATAAAACTGAGCTGAGACTAGGAATCTAAGCAGCTCTGTGCAGTGGTTCAGAGAACAGGCTTTGGAATCAGAGACCTGCCTTGAACCCCAGCTTCTACAAGCAGGTGCTGTGAGGCCCTGTGGCAGAGATTACTCCTTCTCAACCTAAGCGGCTTCTTTTCAAAATGGTAATAATTGTAGTTCTTACCTCATGAAGCAATTTTACAAAATAACATATACAAATTTCTTATCACAATGTATGGCATACAATGCTTAATAAATAATATTGCAATGGTTACAGGTATTTGACAGAAATATGGAGGAAAGTGGTACAAAATAGCGGTTAAAAGACGTGGTGTCTGTCAGTGGACGGCACGTGTGAGGACCTCGATCTCAAGTCATCCAAGCATCTCCTCGGGGTTTTCCTTGCTATCCACATTCCCAGTAGGTGCAGGGAATTTTCATACCATTATTTTCACAACAAAAAGTCTGTACTTTCACAATTATATATACCAACTTATAAGAGTAACTCCAGGTGCTTGAGAATCCACTTACCTGTGGGGGATGCAAGGAAAAGGTCCCTCTGTGGCTGCTCTCAAAATTTATCTCCCTGACGCCTCTGAATATTCAAATAGCCTTCAGGAAAACACAAGACTTCTTAGCCATTCTGAAACTCTTCTCGGGGCTAATAACTATATATCAGTCTGGATTTGACTTCACATTATCATCCAAAATAACTCATAAATCCTAGCTGTCGTCAGGAAGATGTGGGTGAGAACAATGGGTACAAATATTCACCATATACATTATATCACCATATGAAATTCAGCAAACTGGGAGACTTAGGATCTAAGTCTAATCTGGACCCAGCCATTAACTCACTGCTGGAAACACACTCACTAATGGTTACAATTGAGGGTTCTTACACTATGTTCTAAGGAGCTCTAGGTTTGCACAGCAGTACTGAGGGCTGCTTTACTCGGGCTCCAAGCCTCCATCTTGTCTTGAGCAGGGAAGTAATATTTAAAAGGATACCTCTCTTCTTACCAGCTCCCCTTACAGGCTCATTCTGGCAAGGACAACCTAAGCTGGGCAAACCACTCCCTTTACTTTAGAAAAATATGAGCTGCTGAAAGAAGCCGGTTGAAACAACACAACAAAGCAATGCCCCTACCTGGGGAGGGTGTGGGGTGCACAGGGGAAGGGTTTACAGGAGAATAGTGGGGCACGGAGGGGCCATGCTCGACTGCAGAGGTGCCCTCTGAATCTCTGCAGAATGCACAGCTGTCGAGCCAGCTGCATCAACAGATCCATGGTACCCTAGGTGTTGGGCTGTGACCTCTGTCTGGGGGGACAGCAGGGTGCTGGGGAAAGGGAACTGGATCTGAAATCAGAAGGCTTAGTATGAATCTCACTCTTTGGACAGGGTGCTTCATCTCTCTGAATTGCTATTTCCCCAACTGAAAAACAAGAATAAAAATACCCACTGGATCAGCCTCACAGGCATGTTGTATAGTCTAAATAAAACAAGGTCTGAAAAGCATTCTGTAAACCAGAAAGCCCCATAAAGATGTAAGCTGTATTCAGTAGTCCATGAAATAGATGTCTAAATGTTGTCCTTAAATCCCCAAATGCTTGCTAAGATCACTTTCCTAAGATATGAATATACAAGGCTAGGAAACTGTCAAATAAATGCAGTGTTTCACTATGTTCACATAATTTTTCAATATGTCAGTTATAGAGACCATCACTGTCTGATACCACATGAAAAACTACACATAAAGTCACAAAGCTCCAATTATATAGGAAAAAAGTCTATGCATATTATAAAATCTAATCATATATGATTTCAAAAACTATGACTAGATTATTCTTAAAAGAACTACTATGCTGCTAATTGCTCTTTTAAATGTATACAGTAATAGCAAAAAGTTTTACAAAAATATCCTAAATGCAGAGTCTTGACTTCACACTGTGAGTGGTAGTGGATGCTTCACTCCTGATTTAGACTATTGCATTTCAGACTTGGGTGTTACGTGTCTCTGCTCCTCATCCCTGTGGATTGAGACGCCAGAAGACCATGGGAATCCACTTCCTAGAGAAATCCGTCAAGTTTTCTGGTCGGGAAGTTCTCTAGAACAATCCTCTTCATTCTCCTCTGAGCAAGACAGATTCAGGACACTCGTCACGGGATGGATCCAGGATGTAGTCTGTGTTACGTGACTGAGAAGAACAGGGGAGCCAGTTAGAATCTGAAAGATTGTCTTTCTACCCAAGCATGCAAGTTCTGATGCTGTGACAAGGCTTCCAGCCGACCGCAGTCCCTGTGATAGGAACCAATTACAACTGGATTCCTGAGTTGCAGTAAATCCTAGATACGTTTTACGGTTTAATGAAAACCATTTCTCTCTTTCCTTTTAGTTAAAAAGGAATGCAGGTGACTGCATCTTTGATTCCTCTCTTCCTAACCTGATATTCACTCAGTTACCAAGTCCTACGACTGTCTGGTATGACATCTATGGAATGGATGTCTTCCTCCCTTTTTCAATGCAATAGCCTGGGTCCCTGAAATAGCTTGTTTCCCTGCCTTTTTTTTTTTTTTTTTTTAAATTTCTCCTCCACTCCAGCCACGAGAACTTCCTAAATGACAAATCATACCCTGTTTCTCACTGGCTAAAGATCCAGTGCCAACCAATGCCTTCTGGATCAAATTCACATGCTACAGTAGAAAATACCTTGGTCTTCTCCCGCCTCAATAACATCTCCCTGAGGAATTACCTCACACTGGTTCTTTTTTTTTTTTTTTTTTTTGATACAGAGTCTGGCACATACCGACTCCTGCCTCTATTCTTTTTCTTTCTTTTCTTTTCTTTTCCCTCCCTCCCTCCTTCCCTTCTTTTTCCTTCCTCTTCTCCTTCCTTCCTTCCTTCCTTTCTCCCTCCCTCCCTCCCTCTCTCC